GCATATGCACCCATCCCATGGCTGTGCCCACTGTCCTGATCAGTGTTGCAGCTCAGGCGAACTTACAAAGCAGAACCCACAAAGGAACAAAGCCAGACCCAAGGCACATACTAAACGAAGTACACAAGATGAGAGTCCAAACAGAGAAGTCACTTTGGTGAGTGTCAAGGGAAGCTCAAGGAGCCCAGCTGGCGTGGGTTTCATAGGTACCACTGAGGGCTCCTAGCCTTGCCACACTCAGGCCACTGTCACACAACACCCAGTCTAGGGAATGTACCTGGCGCCTCACATCTGAGGCCAGAAGCCCAAGTCATGAACACCACAGGCCGGGCCAGCAAGGGCTCCTGTCTGCTGCCAAGCAGGCACTGCCTCCAGAGTCTTCTCAGAACTGTCTGTCTCCTCACAAGACCCTGTGGTGTTCCAGCCTCAGGAGGAGATGCAGAGGAAGGGAGAAGATGGAGTCGCTACAGGCCACATGGGGAGAGGAACATATGGCCTTCAGGGCCAGGCGGCAGCCAGGACACACAGCTCAGGCCTTGCCCACAGCACCTTGTTCACCTAGCCTCTGTGCCCTTGGTACTGGGCCTGTGCTTGCCTCACCACAGCCACAGCATCTATAGGCATCTCTACTGTCCAGGATGCAAGAGCCACACAAAACCCGAGTCCTGGGGACAGATGTTCGAAAAGCCCTTAATGGAGCTCCACTGCAGACGTGTACCCACACACGGCATCTCGCTAACCCTGGACAAAGCTGAGCTGGAGGTCACAGCTAAGGGCAGCAGAGGACAACGTGGTCTCCCAAGAACAGTGCCTCTCAGCCCAGCTTCTCCCGAGCCCAAGACCCAGCCCAGGCTGCCTTGAAATCCTCCAGCTGAGAAGCCAGGTGTCACTCAGTCCTGGAAGAAAGCAGGCTACAGTGCAGAAGAGAGCCTGGCTGGCACCCGCTAAGGAAAACCCCCGGACCTGCAGTCATGACTGGAAGGCCATGCTGGGGCCCAACTCAATGGTGGTGCTGGCAAACTGTGGGTGCTCCTGGCCTCTGACATGGAACTCGACTATCATCCACCCTCAATCCCCTATAGGTAATGAACCAACAGGGACCCCAAACCTGAGAAACACTCACCCACACAGAAACACCTCCTAGCCCTTGACACACCCAGATCTATGATCAACTGACCTGTGACATCCAGGTGGAAGGAGACCCTCCAGCCTGCAGCTGTACTCCCCAGCATCTGTCTTGCCTGCCTGCTGCACCACCAGCTGCCACCTGCAGCCCGTGGCCTCCACATGCACCCTTGAGCTTGTGCCTAGCTTCTTCCCATTCATGAACCACACCACCTCCATCTTGGGCTGGGTCATCTCACAACTCAGTGTGGCACTGGACCCCACCTTGACCTGCATCTTGCTGTGTGCCGGTTGCTCCTTAGCAAACACTGCCTTGGGTTCTGGGGACACACAGGGACATGGGGTCAGGAAATGAAAACCAGTCCGTGTGGAGTATCCATGTGGATCTTGACGCTAAACGGCTCCTTGGCAAACACCGCCTTGGGTTCTGGGGACACATGGAACACAGAGGTCACAAGCTCATCCCACAGAGCTCCCACATCCTGCTTGCTCAGCGGTGGCTGTCCTTGAGGTCTCCAGAGGTGAGGCTCAACCTGCACAGTGGGGTGGTATACTGAGATATCCTACCTGGGCACCTGTGTGCAGTGGGGGCGCAGTGGGCGCTGTAGCAGGGCAGGCGTGATACATCACCACGATACCAGCACCAGAACCTGGGGTCTGCTCCAGCCCAGCTCCTCCTAGCTTGGTACACACTGTCCACTAAATGGCCAAGGCCTTGGGCCACAGTGGCTTCCTCACTTTGCCAGGTAACACTGCGTCTCCTCTTGCTGTCCACAGGAAAGCAGCTGTGGGCCTCACAGCTCTGCACAGAAGGCAGCATGTGTCTCCTTACGAGCACTGGTCAGGTTCCAGGGCACCAAGAGAGGGGGTGCCATGGGACAGTGCTCTTAGGGGCTGGTGGTTTGGGCTGCACCAGTGGCTGGCCAAAGCACAGGGCTCTGTGCCCAGCCACCCAGCAACAGAGCTGACTCTAGAAGCTCCTGGGTCACTGCCAGACTCAAAGCCCAGCATTCAGGGACACTTCCACCCTCCCAGCTTCTACCAGCCTAAGGGCCTCTGTTCTAAAAGGGAAATATGAGCTTCAAAGGTCATCTTTTAATGAGACTTCCCCGTCTGAGTCCAGCCCACAAACACATCATAAACATGTGGGTTTCCAGGACCATGAGGCAGCAGAGCTGCTGAGGCAGACAGAACATGCTCTCCCACAGCTGGAAGAAAAGAGCTTCCAGCCAACGTCTCTCACTTCCTCACTTTCTTTTTACAATATTCACCTTTCATCAGTCTAAATATGACAGAAACTACAGTAAATATTTAAATTTTAAGACACGTTGTGATAAATCCTTTTCAAAATCCTCCTCCTCACTTCAAACACTCTTCCCATCATTCTTGCCCCTTTCTGCAGCAGCTCTGGAAACCTCTCTCCTGAGTTAACTAGATGTGATTTGAAAAAAGAAAAAAAAAAAAATGTGGTGAACAGCGCTACCAAGTGTCAGCCAATGGAAAAGCAGCTCAGAAAAATGTGGCACTGAGTCCTCATCCACCTTGTTCACCAGACCAGTGACTAGTGACTACTGGCTCTTCCCCAAACTCAACATGACCACAAAGGGGCTAGAGAGGTAGCTCGGTAGAATAAGTGCTTTCCTGGCAAGTGCAAGGTCCTGAGTTCAATCCTCACTACTGGAAAAAAAAAAAAAAGACCATGAAAAGGAAACATTTTGAACTGATTCAGGACATTGAGGCACAGAAAAATTAAAGGCACTTAGGAAGGAAGACTCCAGATCTGGTTCAGAAAGTAGCAAGTGGCTGAGCATGGTGACATGTGCCTGTAATCCCAGGACTCGGGAGGCTGAGGCAGGAGGATCACTGCAAGTTCAAGAACAGACTGGGCTACAAAGTGAGATCAAGGTCTGCCCAAACTGCATAGCAAGACCCTGTCTCAAAAAACAGAAAAGCAGAGACTGAGCATGGTGGCGCGCCTGTAACCCCGGCTCATGGGAGGCTGTAAACAAGTGGATCACAATGAATCTGATCTAGTAGTGAGATCCTGAACATCCTGTAGACCCTTCCCTAAAATAAAAAGGAAAAAGGAAAAAGAAAGAAAGAAAAGAATGGATGAGCACAAAAAAGAAAGGGAGCACTTTGAGAGAGATTAATGGAAGTGTCTTTTCCCATAATAAGTTTTTTACTTAAACACACATAGCATTTTTTGTCACAATCCGTGAATGTTAACTCTACGTGTTTCCATGACCAAAAAAACTGATCCCCAAGTAAGAGAAGGGTCCAGAAAACTCATCACTGTATGCTGCATGCAGCCGAGCTGTTTTCCAATACAGTGGTCCCGCACTCACCACAGAGGTTCCAGACACCCCGCAATAAGTGAAAATCAGCAAAGTAGCGACATTGTATTTATTTTAGTAGTGATATATATTTTAAGGGTTTATAAACCCTTCCCACACTCTTACAAACCTTTCCCATGCTTTTAAAAACACTTCTAATGTTCTTAACCATTTTCTAAACTCACAAACCTACATAATTTTAACAACACTCATGTACTGTATGGTACTGCAAAATCCCATGACATAGCAAAAAATCCATGATAATTTAGATTAATATTTTTGATGCCAGCCCCGCCCCAAGTATCTTTTGGAAACTCATGAAACAGTGAGTTGGAGAAAGTCAAACCACACAATAGCGAGGGGCTACTGGACACACATAAGTGCGGGCACCCGTGCACACACACAAGTGTGCTCACCAGACACCCACAGCTGGAAGTCTGTGGAGCCCTCACCCACACAGCAGGAGCAGGTGCCCTCACCCTGCCTGGTGACGGCGGTGCCACCAGCCCAAGTTCTCCTGTGAGAACTTCGGACAGGAGCAGCTCAGCTCCTCGCCATCTTTGTACCAGCACACACAGACCTGTGCCTCCAGGTCTCACACTCAAACCATGCTGGATCACCAGCCACCACATTCATGTGGTTGCCCACTGTGTCCTTGTGCAGAAAGGATGTGGGGCCTGCACAGTACAGACAGCTGGTCAGAGACTCTCGAGACTATAGCTGCAGTGCTGGGCTCAGGAGCCACTCGGACACCTGTCCACCCCCAAGACAGAGGCCAACTCACCTACTGGATCCTGGCCTGAGGACTCCCTCCATTCCCACCACAGCAGGACCACACACACACAGAGCCTGTGCCCACCACTCTCCCTGAGCCCCAGAGCCTGACCAAACCTGGAAACAGAGCCAGCAGCACCTTGAATTCCAGGGGACCTGCACCGGGCCCTTACCCTGCACACACAGCTGGTAGGCTGTGCAGCTCCCGCAGCCCACACACTCATAGAAGCTGGCATCCTCCAGCGCCACATCACATACCAGTAGTACCCGCTTCCTGCCCACTGCCTGCACCTCATAGTTGGAGCCAGGGGACAGCAAAAGGCCATCCTTCAGCCATGTCACGGCTGCTGCCTGCTCTGACAGCTCAGCCAGCAGCTGTTTCCTCATGCAGCTGGGCCAAATCCTCCTGGGTGGGTGGGGGTGGCAATGGCTTGTTGGCAGTTAGCCCTGGGGGAGTGGAGTGGGCAATCACAGAAGGATCACAGACAAAAGAAAAGACAGGAGAAAAACAGGTACACGATGGGGAGGGTGACAGAGACAGGAGGGGCCCCAGCAGGGAGGGTGAACACATAGGAGAAGAGACAAGCCAGGAAGGGAAAAAGATGGAGGAAGACCCAGGAGGAGGCACAAAGATGAGGACGGGACAAAAGGAACAGGAAGGAAAGGATGTGGAGGGGACCCCTGGAGAGGACCCTGAGAGAAGGGAGAAGAGGCTTGATGCCTGGTCCTGCCCCAGCTCAGGAGAAGTGGCCAGGTGCCGCCTACCTCGGACAGCCACCTGGATGCTGTTCTCGATGCCATCGGCTACAAACTTGAGCAGTGCACCATGCAGGCTTGCAGGCACCCCGTGGATAGTGAGCACATGCCGGGTGCGGTCTCGACTGATCAGGAACATGCTGCCGGCCTTCAGGGCCTCCCCATCCAGGAACCACTGGCCATCGGAGGCCACCGTGAGGTCCACAGAGAAGGTGACCTCACCACCCTCCTCTGCCTCCACTGCCTGCAGGGGTGTTCTCATGGCCAACTGGGGGGCTGCACATAGGATGGTTAGGAAGATGAGCATGTGACAACCAAGGGACATGCCACAAGGCTCTTGCTCCCACAGAGGTCCAGCCCCAAGCTCAATACCCACATCATGAAGAACCCCACCTACCCAGGCGCACAGTTCCTGGGAACTCCAGGCAGGGACCCTGGCCGAAGCTGTTGACTGCTGATACCCGGAACTGGAAATCGCCCTCCTCCACCACCCCTGTGACTGTGAGCTCAGGCGTGGCCACCCACTCAGCCTCGTGGCACCGACTCCAGGTGTAGGTGCCCAGCCGCCTTCTCTCCACAAGGTAGCCATCAATGGTGACAGGGTAGTCCCCATAGGACGGAGGAGACCAGCTGAGGGTCACGGAGCTCTCTGTCCTGGCTTTCACCACAGGGTCCATGGGGGGACATACGGGTGGCCTCCTGGGGACTGGGACCAAGACAGGCTGAAGTCACTCAGGAGGCCCTGCCCAGGCCTGGAAGAACATTCAGAGCCTCAGGAACACTTTGGGTCAACCCAACCCACAGCTGCAGTCACTTGTCTGCAGCTTGAAAGGGACCCAACCTGGGAGGAGAGGACTGGGGACCCTGAACCAAGGCCTCCACAAAGCATATGGCCAACGATGGCACTGAGGTAGTCACTGAGGAAGGTCAAGGGAAACAACTGGAGACCACAGCTGATCCTTACCCGAAACACAGAACTGGGTGGATGTGCGGGAGCCACCAGCCACAAAGGCCACCTCGCCCATGTCCTCCGGGGTGCACTGGAAGATGGTCAATGTGTGGCATAAGCCCTCTGCACTGATGGCCACGCGGCCACCAGGCACCACCTCCTCCTGGTTCCTCAGCCAGCACACAGGGCCCTCCGGGACAGCTAGCTCCACGCAGAAGACAGCTGTGTCCCCCACACGCACAGCTATTTTCCGGGGCAGCTTCCGAGTCAGGTTCCCTGGGGAAGGAAAGGCGGGGCTGTTCAGCCAAGACTCCTGCAGCTGCCTGCCCAATAGGTCCACCAACCTGTACTTTCCCACCCTGCCTCCTGCCCCTTCCTCCCCACCCCTTCCCCCCACGCCCAACTCCCAACCTGCCCCTGCTCTAACCCGGCCTAGGCCCATCTCCTCCCTCCTCCCGCTCCCGCCCCGCCCTGCCTTGCACTGCGAGCTCAGCCACTGTGCGGCTCCCCTCCTCTGTCTCGCAGATGTACACGGCGTCGTCGTCCGCCGTGACGTTGCGCACAGTCAACCTGCGCTCGGAGCCGGACTCCTCGATATCGTACTTGGCGCTTGCCCACAGCCGCGTCTCCTCTTTGAACCACGCGGCCTGCGTGCTGGGCAGCGGCACCTCGCACTCGAACGTGGCCGAGTCCCTCTCGCGCACCTCCAGGTCGCGCAGCCGCCGCGGGAAAGGCACGGCTGGCTCTGGGGGCACAGGGTAAAGATAAGGACAGGGACCCCAGTGCAGGGCAGGACTCAGCTGGTCTGACCAAGGCAGGGGGAGAGAGGACAGCCCAGGGGAGGGGGACCCTAAATGCAAAAGAGGCAGACCGAGTGGGACTTGAAGGGGCAGGGTCGCGGAGGGCAGTGTGGTAGGAAGCGTGCCCCAGTGGGCCCGGAGAAGCCGCGGGTCCTCAACAGCGCGCGCCCTGCTGACCAGAAACGTAGACCATCGAGAGACAGGGGCCGCCCCACCCCCACCCCGGTTGGAGTCTCACCTCGCACAACAACCTGCACGGAGCTGTAGGTCTGGCCCACAAGGTTGGACGCCGTGCACGTGTACAGCCCGCGATCCGACTGCTTGCAGAACAGGATCTTCAACACAAAGTTCTCCTGCTCATCCTCGTATGCCACGTGTCTCCGGCCCTCAGCCACGGGCTGTCCATCCTTCTTCCACACGATGTCGGGCTTGGGCTCACCCGTCACGAAGCAGCTGAGGCGCGCGTGCTTGCCTTCGGTCACCGTGCAGGTGCGTGTGCCCACGCCAGGCGGCGAAGCGGGGGCGCCCTCAGAGCGCATGGCCTCGCGACGGCGCTGCAAATGTGCTAGCAACGCGGCCGTGGACCCCCCCGGCGGCCCGGCGGCCCCAGCGTCCATGTCCACTACAAGCTCGGCAGCAGCGCGCGCAGCACCCAGCGCGTTCTCTGCGCGCACCTCATAGGTGCCTTCGTCGCGCGGCCGCACCGCCCGGATGCGCAGCGCGCTCTCATCGCCCCGTTCCTCCACGCTCACGCGCGGGCCGTCGGGCGCGCCCAGGCGCCGGCCATTCTTGGCCCAACTCACGGCGGGTGGCGGGGACCCGCGCACGCGGCAGTGGAAGGCGGCGTCGGCGCCCTCGCGGACGCGGATGGACGAGGGCCGCAACAGGAAGTGTGGCGCCTGCTCAGCGCACGCCGTCCCCGCATCCACCTGCAGCCCCACGGCCGCGAAGGCCTCCCCCACGGCGTTGCGCGCCCGGCACACGTACTGCCCGCCATCCCCGAGCGCCAGGTCCAGGATGGTGAGCCGGTACACGTCGCCGTCCTGCGCCAGGCGGAAGCGCGCGCCTGCCTCCACGGGCTGATGGTCCTTCTCCCAGCTCACGTGCGGCGAGGGGTTACCCACAATCTGGCAGCTCAGCGTGGCGTCCTTGCCCACGGACACCACGAAAGCCTTGGGCCGCGCGAGGAAGCGGGGCGCGCCGCTGAAGGAGGCGGGGTCCATGGCGGGGACCTGCGAGGAACAGGCAGGCAGGAGATGGCACAGAGGCGACCCGCGCCCAGGGCCAAGGTCGCGTACACAGGGCGGTCATGGTGCGCTCCCGCCCCCAGCGTCGGCAGGTGGCGCCGTAGCCCAGCCTCACAGGTTTGCCCTTCCCTGGTCTTAGGGTCGAGCTCCTGACAAAGGTGTGGCTGCTCCCACTATCTGGCCCCCCTACCGCAGTCCTCGCCACCTCCCCAGCCCTCCATGCCCCAGTGAGTGTAGCATCTCTCGCACTGTTGGCCCCTGCTGGAGCCGCCGCCCCCCCCCCGGGGGCCTTTCACTGGTCTATTGTGCATCAGTGAGGGCGCTGTGCCCTAGCAGAGTCTACGTCAAGCCTCTTCCCTGGGCCTGACCTGTCCACAGGGTCTTTCTTTTCTGTGTGGCCACAGACCTCCCTGGACTGAAAATGGAGCAGGTTCTCTAACAGCAGTGCCCCTGCCTGGGAGCAGGAGAATGGGCGTTTCCTCACCTATGGTTTGACCCAGCCCACTGCACAGGGTGCAGTGGGGTGAAGACGTCAGTTTTCCTGTGGTGAGGAGAATGCTGGCCTGTCTCCCAGGGTTGGGTGAGGACTGTGCCTGCCTGCACCAGGTCTCCAGGAGGGTGGTGGGCACCCAGATGCTCTCCCTGCTTTTAGGCAGTAGGGACCTAGTGCCTCTCTGGGGCTGCCCAGCACCCAGTCTGTTGGTTTGGATACCTAATCCCTTAATCCAGGAGGCTGGGCTTGGGTCAGTGTTTGCTGACTCACTGTGCAGTCAGCAGCTCTATGCCCTAGCTCCATGGGGCAGGAACTCCATATGCAAGTTCCGGGCCAGGGAGATGGCTCAGTAGAATAAGCGCTTGCCTGGCAAGCACAAGGGCCTGAGTTCAATCCCTGGTTCTGCCAAAAAAATAATAATATGCAAGTTCCTAGCTGGGTCAGCTCCCTTCTGGGCACTAGCAGGGCTGCGCCAACTCAGCCACCAGGGACCTGAGATGGGGTCTTTTGGGTGTTTAGCACAACTAGGACCAGTCTGTGGAGTCCCCAAAAGCAGAGCCGGAGCTAGCATGGTCACAGAAACATGAACATGAATGTGACAGCCCCCAGGCTCATGGGCTGACCTGGGGACAGTGCACCCCACTCTGCTCGCCAGGCCACATCCCTCCAGAGAACATGTTGCCAGGTGGTTGGCAGATCCTGTTAGCCAAAGGCTCATCCTCAGAGCTCTGAGATGCCCTGCCACTCTCAGGGTGCCAGAAGGCTGCTGCTTGTGTACGCTCCAGACCTCGGAGCCACTTCCCCTGGCCTCTCATGTTATAGACGAAGACACTGAGCCTGCTCAGAACCTCCAGGAAGCCTGCCAGGAACATCAGCCTTGTCCTTTACTGCCATTTTGGGCTGGGGGCCTCAACACTACAGAAGCCTCCTTGGTCAAGAAACCCATCCTCCCAGAGAGGCCCCATGCTCTTGAAAACCCAGCTGGAGAGCTACTTTTCTCCCATGGCCATGAATGCAGGACCCTCAGCCCACAGAACCTCAGCAGCCCCTGAGTCCAGCTTTCACAGTGCCCGCCCTAGCACTGCTGGCCCCATGGGGGGTCCAACTGTCCATCAGAAAAAGCCTAGAGTGGGGCCCAGGACCCCACTGCAAGACCGTTCAGGATGGCTGGGCCCCACCTTGGACTTCTGGTTGCCAGCGTCACCACTCAGGAAATTCTTTCCTGGAGTCAGGTGTCACTGCCCCTCTGGCTGTCCCCTCTGCTGAGCCATGGGCCCAAAATAGCCCCAGCTGTCAGCGGGCATCTATCTCAGCAGTGCGGGGGGCAGGGCTACCTGACCCCCAAGCAGCCCCAGCCAAGGACAGACTGGGACAGGCGACCCCTTCATGCCTGCCAGGACTGAGGTTCAGAGCTTCCATTACAGCCCCTTTTCCAAAGCAAACCCCACAGGGCACAAGCAAACCCCACAGCTCCTGCAGAGCCGTAACCTTCAGCCCTGTGCCCCAGCACCATGGCTGCCCCCCTCACCACCACCACCACCACCCGCCTCACCTTCTCCACAGGGACTTGGCGGGGACCTAGGTGGTAGGGGCTGCTGGGGCTGCTTGCCTTCTTGGGCCCAGGAGCAACACGGTTCCCACCCAGCAGCCCACGCTCTGGTCGGTCCTCAGACTGCGCAGGGACGAAAGGACAGGCAGCACTGTCAGATGGAGAGAGCTGGGCCCGCCCCTACACAGCCCCCACTAGCCCAGCCCAGCTCCAAAATAGCCCACGAGTCAGCGCCTGGGATTCAGTTTCACCCTGGCCCCCAGGAGGCAAAGGGCAGAGGGGTCAGGGCACAGCCCATGTCTTCCAGCAGCAACAGGGGCAGGGCTGCGCCTGGGCAGAGAGGGCCAGCATGGATAGACCCCATAGCTTCCTACAAAACAGGGCAGGGGCCTAGAGCACCCAGGACAGCTCACAGGGAGCTCAGCATGACTGGCAGGGCCCTGAGCCACCCCAAGAGGACCAGGTACATTCATGAGGATTGCCCAGCCTTGGGCTGACCCCAGCCATCACCTCAGTGTGCCCAATGGAAGTGCAGATGTGAGCAGCACACAGGAGTGCCAGCTGACCACCCCAACCTTCAATTGCCAGCCCCAGGATCAGGTGGGCACTGCACACTGCAGATGCATATGGGGAGAGAGGTTCCCTGGGACGTGGAAGCCACCAGGAGCCAGAGGGACTGCCTGGGGGATGTCCTAGGGGAACCTAGTCCTGCAGAACCAGGCCTGACAATTGGCCTCATCTAGGGGCTCAGTAAGAGTGTAGCTCAATTACCACAGGGAAACTCAGCCACAACCCCATGCTGCAGGGAGAAGAGGGGAAGGGGTATAACTCCAGGAGTCCCAGGTCCCCACCCTGAGCCAACACTGTGGCTCTGTCCTCTATGGTGACTTCTTCTACATTGCCCACACCACTGACTTCACATGGCAGAAGGGGTAAGACTCCTCTGGGTCTCCATCTGTGAGGTCCCCATCCAACACCACACCGAGGATAGAACTCCAAGGAGGAAGAAAAAATGGAAAAGAAGACCTCATCCCCTGCAGCAAGACAAGGCCACTGCAGGAGCATGTGTGGGGGTGTGTGTGGATGTAAACGTGCACACATTTGCATGTGTGTTCATGTGCTGCATGTGTGCTCATGAGTGTTCATGCCTGAGTGTCCATGTGTGCATAATCTGCCACTGCATGCACACAAGTGCATGTGTGTGGATAAGCACATGGTTGTACATGTATGGATGGCATGTGTGCTCATGACTGCTTGCACATATATGCACAGCTGTGGGTACATTCTGCATGGGTGGAGGCAGATGTGGGAACACCTGCCTCTCTGGGCCAGGGCCATGGGGCAGAGGGCATCCATGTTCTCAGTGCCCACAGGTAGGTCCTTGGGAAAAAGTGAGCTCCTCGTAGCCCAGTGGGGCCCCTGGGCTCCTGCCTGCCAAGAACCAACAGCACCGCAGCAGCTCCTGTCTGCTCCCTTCTCCACCCAGATCCCTGACCTGTGAGCCTCTAGGGCTTCTCCTGTGTTGTCTTTATCCAGCAATGGGTTTCTTATCCTTCATTATTACGTTAACTGGTAAATACATAGTCGTACATATTCACAGACTGCCATGTGATGTTGCAACTTATTTCTTGAAGAAAGGGTGTCACAGAGTAATGTGAAGACTGCAATCACACTGGACTCCCAGGCATCTTCATGCCCCATCTGGGGTCCTTCAGTGGTGGTGCTAGCATTCTGTGCAGAATGACAGGTAGCATTTCAGAAAGCCTGAGCAGAAAGGGCAGCAGGGACACTAGAAGAAGGGGCAAAGGCTGTACCTGAGCTTTCAGAGCACAGTTCCCACAGGAAGCTGGCATGGACAGCAACACAGTGAACTTTCAGATCCTTCCAAAATCTGCTTAGGATGAAAGGGTCTTGAAACCAATGCTTCAGACAGGGAACCAGGTCCACAAACCATTAAGAAATAAGCCAAGGGGCCGGGGAGATGGCTCAGTAGAATAAGTGCTTGCCTGGCAAACACAAGGGTCTGAGTTCAATTCCCGGTTCTGAAAAAAAAAAAAAAAAAGAAAAAAGAAATAAGCCATAGGGGCCAGCGAGATAGCTCAGCGGTCTAAAGTGCCTGCTTAGGCAAGCTTAGGCAGGTGCAGCAGACCACGGTTCTATCCCTGGCACCACATGCTACGCCAGCCCTGCCCTCAGGGCGAGCTGAGCTGGCCAAAAAGAAAAGAAATAAGCCATAATACTGAGAGCCAGGCCCTGAACTGCCACAAAGAACACAGGCACCAGGCGAGGCTGGGGAGACACAGTGGCCAAGACATAGGAAGACCTGGCAGAGCCCTAGGGTCAGAGAGGGCCTGGGACATGGAGAACAGAGTTCCCCACAGTCTGTGGACATCCAACCCAGGGAAAGGTGTACAGCTCACCCTCACTGGCTGTACGCAGACATAGCCACCCCTACCTCTGCTTCTCTGCAGGTGCCACCTCGAGTCCCAGCCTCTGGTCCTTGCTCTGTAGTTCCCCTTTGATGCCCTTTTCTGGATTCTTGGTTTTGTGCCTTCAACCCATGTTGTTTCCAAACTCACCCCACTCCAACTTTGAAACATTCAGATTTTCCTCTCACCTGGCAGTGACATGGTGTGTCCTCTCAGTGTGTCCCTTGTGCCCCTCCACAGACTTGTGGAGACAGCCACACCAGTGCATTCACAGGGTCTTGCAGCTATGAAACCATGTCCACACAGCCTTCCCCAGCCCTATGTCAAACCTCTTAGCCCTCTAGCCTGCACTCTACCCTGCCTCTGTGTGCTCATCTGAGTTGATGCCACTTGTGAGGGTAATGTCTTCCCGTGCTCTTCATCCCATTAAGTATTATCCTTAAGCCCCTCCACAGTCTTTAACAATAGGCCTCCTCACCAGGCACAGTGGTGCACACCTGTAATCCCAGGACTTGGGAGACTGAGGAAGGAGGGTTGCTGCAAGTTTGAGGCCAGCCTGGGCTACACAGGAAATTCAGGGACAGCCTGAACTATACAGAGAGACCCTGACTTAAAGAAACCAAACAAAGGGCTCCTTCTGTTTAGGTGGAAAGGTTTCCCATATGTATGCACAGGCAGGCCTCACATCCACAGGCTCTCAGCTGTGAGTGCAACTGATCAGGCCCAAGATATTCATGATATACTGCACCTGAACTCATCAGACCTTCTCTTTGTGTTATTCTCTAAGAACACGTCAGAATCACTCTTCATGCAGTATTTGCATTATTAGTTGGTAATCTAGAGTGGATGTAAAGTGTGTGTCAGGGCTCCTATAGGTTCTGTGCAAACACCAGGTCATTTTCTGCCAGGAACTTGAGCGCCCCTGCTTTTGGCACCCACAGCAGGTCCTGGAACTATATGGTTTCCCCATCATCTGCTGATGGATGGATGGCTGCTCCCCTTTATTTCTTGGCTGATGAGAACATGGAGTATGGATGTTTGTTCAGCACAGTATTCACTTCCCTTGCACAGATACCCAGCATTGGGGCCACTGTGTCCCCTATTTCTGGTTTCAATTCTTTGAGAACTGAGGAAATGTTGATTGAAGAACACAAACCTCTACTATAAAGTGAATAATTCTGAGGCTCCGATGAACACTGTTGGGTCTGTGGTTCACAACACTGAGTTGACCAAAGGACACAGAGAGCAATTCACCATGCCCAAGGCTCTGCAAGAAGATGCAGATGGCTGTGTTCATCATCCCGACTGGTGGTCAATGGCCTGTGCACCTGCAAGATGGGCACGGTATATTCATTCCTCAGTTTCTGGAAGACACTGTCATGCACAGCCTGGTCGCATACATTGGGAGTGCACTGTGCTGCATGTCTGTGGGGAAAACTTTCTCAGGCTCCCCTGGCTGGTGGGCAGCACTTGAGAGGCAAATGCACCCCATGCGGCTTTCAGAAGACGGGCCCTTTCCCATTGGAGTCTTGGCAGAGGTTCCCACGCCAACTCACTGTGAGCTGCAGCTACAGACAGCTCACCGAGGTCCCAACATCTGCCTACACTCCTACCACAGCCCATGCTCAGGCCAGTTTCTCCCTGGACAGTAGAGAACCAGCCCTGGAGGCCAGGCGGATATAGCAGTGACGTAAGTGTCACTCCCCAGAAGAGTCCTGGCTCAGGGGAGATGTGAGGGCAAGCAAGGGAAATCCGAATACACACTGGAGCTTAAAAGTGTGAAAGAGGGCTATGATACAGCTCAGCAGCAATTGCGTGCCTGGCAAGCACAAGGTCCTGATTTAGATTCCTGCTACCAAAAGAAAAAAGAAAAGAAAGAAAAGAGTGAAGGGGTGGAGCATAGTGACATACAGCTGTAATCAATCCCAGCACTCAAGAGGCTGAGGCAGGAAGATGGCAGCAAGTTCAAGGCCAGGCTAGGCTACAAAGTACATTCAAGGCCAACCTGAATTGCACAGAGAAACCCTGACTCTAAATAAATAAATAAATAAAT